ATATGCTAACAAATAAAGCTTGCCTAAAGATCAGGGGACAGAATTAGCCAGTAGTTAACCAGAGAGGTCTGGAGGTCTGTACATACAGACAGGAAGTGAGATGGCTTGGCGGAGAAAGGAAGTGATAAGGCGGGAAGAGTCAGGAGCTTGGGCTCTCTTTGGCTGGGAAGTTACCGAGGTAAGGTCTGGCTGTGGCTTGCTTCTTCTCTGATCTTTCAGCATTTCCCCCTATATCTGACTTCAGGCTTTTATAATTAAGACCTATTAGAACTTGTGCTACAGCAATGTTCTTTATATTTGGAATTTTAAAATAATCTAATTACTGAAAAGAGGACTTTTAGAACTTGAGACAAAGGTTTTAATTTAAAACTCATGTGTACATGTGAAAGGAAAACATAACAACATTGTTCATATGTAAAAAAATATAACATAGAACACATTTTATAACAAAACATAATGTATAACATTGTCCATATGAAAATATAAAATATAACATTGGTTAAAGTATTCTCATTTTTTTCATACATAAAATACAACTCTTACAGGTCAATTTAATCTCTGTTTAAGAATCATAGATGTTTATATTTTCCACAGAATTATCTTTCTGTCATAAGTGCTTCTTGATGCAGAAGTATTTAGTAAAATGGTCATTGCTCTTCCTGGGGTGCTCTCCCTGGGATGTCCCTTCATGCTGCTACTGTCTTTTCTATATATCAGACTGACATTTGGAGAACTCTAGGAGTATGAGCAAGCACCTCAAGTGCCTAAGATGCCTCTGAGCTTCCAAGTTGTGCAAGAATCATATATCTATATCATATCTATCTATCTATCTATCTATCTATCTATCATATTAGTCAGCCTACGTTCCTTCCTCTAGTTTAATCTTCCTTTAATAAAAAATAAAAAGGAGGAGGACTCCAATGTAAAGAAACAGATCAGAGAAATTTGTATCTGCAAGACTCTTGACCAAAAGCATTTCTCTAGTGTAAGACAGAAGAAACTTACCAGTGGGAAGAATGGATCTTGCTGTTCTCAGTGGCCCACAACAGGCCTATAATTTCTTTCTTTTTTATCTTAGTTGCCTCCCATTCCATTCTCCAGCCAGTAGCTAGGATCATCTTTCTAAAATATATCTTTCACCTCCTTTTATATCCTTCAGAGACATCTGCAGTATCTGGGGTAACCAGTACACATATCAGGCACACAAGTAAAAACAAGCATGATCTGTGGTATAGGCTGGGAGATGTGGGGTGGTGGTAGAAGAATGACCCCTCCTCAAATGTTCATGTCTTACCCCTTGCAGTTTAGGCAAGGGGACATCATGGTGTGAGATCTTTGTGAAGGGATAGTATATGTATTATGTGGACGGACCCCATTCAGTCACAAAAATCCTTAAAGGGAATGCAAGAGAGGGAGAGAGATCTGAATTGGAAGAGCATGTGTTGTGAACTTTGAAGATGGAAGAAGTGAGGAGCCAAGGAATCTAGGTGGCTTCTAGCAGTTGGAAAAGGCAAGGGAATAGATTAGCTACAACCCTAGAACTTCCAGAGAGAGGAAGAGCCACCGGTCCTTGATTTTAGGACTGCTGACTTCCACAACCATAAAATAATGTTATTGATATCCCCTGAGTCTTTTGAGATCATGCCTTCCTATGGAGCCCAGGTTGGCTTCTCATCCACAATTCTGCTTCCCAGTATGCGTTGACAGACAGGCTTTAAATTTTCTGTGTGTTCACACCACTAAATGTGTGCTAATTTGTCCCAACAACAATAAATGTATACATGTGTGAGATGAAGGCACTGATAGGTTTGTATCTTCAGGGGATTAAGGACTTGTGCTTCTGCATCTGCACAATGGACATGCATGAGTTTAAGATGGTGGATATTTGGACTTTCAGTTTCACTTCATGCACAAGATAACCCACAGCTTCCCCCCCCCATTTTTTAATTTAAATTAGAAACAAGATTGTTTTACATGTCAATCCCAGTTCCTTCTCCCTCCCCTCCTCCCCTGCCCCCCACTAACACCCTACCTATCCCATCCCCTCTCTGCTCCCCAGGGAGGGTGAGGCCTTTCATGGGGGGGAGGCTTCAGAGTCTGTCATATCCTTAGGGATAGGGCCTAGGCCCACCCCTGTGTATCTAGGCTGAGGGAGTATCACTCTATGTGGAATGGGCTCCCAAAGCCCATTCCTATGGTAGTTATTAAGTACTGAACTACTACAAGAGGCCCCATAGATTTCTGACTCTCCTCACTGACACCCACATTCATGGGGTCTGGATCAGTCCCATGCTGGTTTCCCAGCTATCAGTCTGGGGACCAAGAGCTCTCCCTTGTTCAGGGCAGCTATTTCTATGGGTTTCAGCAGCCTGGTCTTGACCCCTTTGCCCATCACTCCTCCTCTGCAGCTGGATTCCAGTTCAGCTCAGTGTTTAGCTGTGGGTGTCTGTTTCTACTTCCATCAGCTGCTAGATGAAGGCTCTAGGATGGCTTATAAGTTAGTCATCAATCTCATTATCAGGGGAGGGCATTTAAGGTAGCCTCTCCACTGTTGCTTAGATTGCTAGTTGTCATCCTTGTAGATCTCTGACCTTTCCCTAGTGCCCAATTTCTCTTTAAACCGATAATGGCTCCCTCTATTATGGTATCTCTTAGCTTGCTCTCCTCTATTCTGGCTATTACAAATAGTGCTGCTATGAACATTGTTGAACAGATGTCCTTGTTGTATGAATGTGCTTCTTTTGGGTATATGCCTAGGAGTGGAATTTCTGGATCTTGTGGTAGACTGATTCCCATTTTCTTGAGGATTGGCCATACTGATTTCCAAAGTGGCTGTACAAGTTGGCACTCCCACCAGCAATGGAGGAGTGTTCCCCCATCTCCACATCCTCTCCAGCACAAACAGTCATTGGTATTTTTTATTTTAGCTATTCACAGATTTCTTTATTGAGAAGGAAAACCACAGCCAGATCATTTGAAAAGTTCATTTATTATATATCAATATACAGTCTCTGTAATAAAAAATCTTCCCAGTACATCAAACCACCTTATAAATGATATAAGAAAATAAAATTTGTATCTGTTTACAAATGGGTTAAATTTGCCAGAACAAGGTACTCTGCAAATCTGCCCTGCAGCTTGTGCAAACCCTAACCCTGAAAATGGCCACGCGAAAGAATGGTGCTGTGTGTAGTCTTTGGCACTGTTGTATTGCTCTTGACTATTTGTATAATTACAAGTGTGGATACTTTCAAGTTAGTCATTCTCAATGTAAAATACTCAAAATATGTACAGATTTTACAGTTTTCCAATAGTTTTGGATTAACCTTTTATATTTACATTTAAATATGTTTGCACTAAACATATTTAATATTTGCAACATACCTTTTCCACTTTATCTTGGTTTATTTGTTGGGTGAATGAAAATGGATAGACTTCTTAAAGATGCTATTTGGTGATTTTTTTTATCCCAAATCATAACTAAAAAGTTATTATAGTTTCTAGTAATGCTCAATTTCTATCACAAGGCACACCATTCTATAGTATATAACTCCAGAAAATGATACATAAAACAAATATATATTTTTAGGCACACTGCAGAAAAATTGCTGTAGTATGACAGTATTATCACTATCTGCATGATATGTATATTTCATACTTGGCTTTACTGAAATGTAAAGTACACAACAAATAACTGAAAAAAAAATAGTAGTGAATGCCAAACATTCTAGGCAGTGGGTAGCAACTGAACTCCATCCATGTAAGTATCTATGGATGTGAACATGTTTCCATGTCATGTTAGTGCACCTATTTCTAACCACTTGACATTAATGACAGGTGAATGTCAGCAAATTCCCATGTGAGCTAAAAGGAGCAGAGTCCATTCTAGACATGCTAAACTCAAAGACCAGTGCTAGTATTGAAAATTATTTACAAATGAGGAGCCCCTCTCTTTGCTACTTTCCTATAGAGAATTATAGTGTTGTAAACAGTGAAGAGCATTACTGAACTATGTACAACTTTGGGGTTTAATTTTTAGATGCCTCCAATGGACAGATACATACATACACATGGATTTTTGAGCCCACAAGCTTAATTCCCTGTCCCAACCTGAAAAAATAAATGTTTTGACTGTGAAGGAAGAAAACTACATATGTAAAAAATGAAAATCAAATGTACCATATGTCAACATTCTGGCAACTACAGAATGAAATTATATACACAAACATATAGCACAATTACAGTTTCCTGCACTGAAGGTTTTTCAAATAAAAACGCATCAAACAATACTGGGTAGTGTGTCTCCACATGAATTATGGTCTTCTGAGAATTATGCATGAGAACGGAAGACAAGAGGGAAAGCCTTGTTCAAAGACAAACATGTGACAGAAAATGCCAGGAACAACATGAAAAAGCAGGTGCTGTCTGACTAGGCAGTGTAGCTAAAAACATTATTCTGCTGTTATTTTTTGATAATTAACTACTACCCCACACCCACTCCCCATTTAGTGAGATATTTTAGCATTTACCATAAAAAAAAACCCATTGACACTAATTCACTGTAATAAGCAGGTTGGGCAAACTACTCTTTTAGTACTGAAACGAAGTACTCTAGACTGGTATCTGTCATTCATGTACCTTACAGGGACAATTCCCAAGATACATGCCTGCCTCAGTCAGTCAGTAGACCCCTTACTGTTGCTGTAGGATGGGAGATGGCCATAAGTGACAATGGCTTTGTCACTGGGGCATTTTTGCTTGATGTTCTGAGAACACAATGATTTGTTAATCTGGGTGGTAAAGTGTGGGGAGTGAACAATGGGGGCATGGTATTGTCTGCTGACCAGGACATACAGCCAACCAGATTCTGCTTGCACAATTGCAAAACACACCTTGGGCATCACACACTGCACTAGAAGGCTTGGGTTGAAATGTGTGCCACAGATTTTTAATGCATCATTTGCCATTCCCGACCAAACCCATAATTTTCTCTTCCACAGGTGTCAGGCAGTGGAACTAGGAATTGTCTCTGGAATCTTCTCGTTATTTCCTCTGAATAACATCCCAATCAAGGCAGGTAAAATGTCCCCTAGAGCATAATTTTGGCCATTTCCAATGGAAAGCTTTTCCTCAAGTTAGTGGTGCTTGGGATTTGGAGGGTTGTAAATCCAGTCGATTATAATGAGTGCCATGCTTCCCAACATGAAGATGATTCCAGTCACAAGGAAGACCAAAGCCTGCAAAGCAGAGGGAGCACATTAGGGAGCAGAGACTGGAAACAGCACAGTTTGCTTTAGGACATTGTCATGGGATGGTAATGTACCTTGTATATTCTAAGTGATAAAAGTCAGGTCAATTTAGGACCCTCCTTGGGAAAGGAGTGAAAGCATAGTGAAAACACATAGCATAAGGCTCAAAAGGAGAATAATAGTTGATTGATTGAGCACATGAAAATATGAGGACTACCAAAAATTAATCGATAGACAAAGACTCAACAATGTAGGAAATACTCATGACCTCTTGGGTGGAAAGAGCCAGACATAGTGAAAAAAGCATGCATGATACAACTGATAAATCACACAAATAAAATGAAAGCCCAGTGTATGTTAAATATTTCTGAAAAAAAAAGACAAAAGTATAAGTATCTTTGTAAGTAGGAATATTGAGAACATCTATACTTGAGAATTTTAACTGGAAGAGTCCTTCAATATTCCACATAGATCAGTCTTATAATTCTACTCATTGGAGAGCAGCAGATGAAACTTGTCATTAGCAGGGGCCTAGGAGACAACTTTATCCACTTTAGAAAGTACTCATCTGGTCAAGATGAGTACTTTCCCCAGGGCACACTGTTATAGACACCCAAGCAAGAGGGAGCACACAGAGTCCAAATTTGGGGGAAAGATGACAGGAGGAACTTGTGCTATCAAGCTGCTCTTCCATCCCTGGGCACCCTAAGAGGTGAGTGACTTCAAGACTCAAACTTGGATTTAGAAGCATTCTTTCCAAGCCTTAATAGAAGACCCTTTTAGCTGGTCACCAATACTTAATCATGGGTAAGAAATCTTTTGTGATGTATGTCTATTTATTATGGAAAGGAAATATGCATGTCATAGTTTAATAAGATGATATTTTATATCTGAAAAGATTAACTGAAAAATGATCAATTCTATTTTTTACAGAACATACATGGTTTGATAGAAAAGAAACAAAATCTATCTCTGCCCTTGTGAATCTAGAAAATGGGACTAAATTGCTGCCATTGCTCACACTGGGAGGGAGTCCAGTATCTTCCTCTAATGTCACATCATATCCAGCTGGGCACTGGATGCCAGAGTGCCTGTAACATGCATCCCCATGGGAAATACACCAAGATAACATTTGCCACATAGAACTCAACAGAATATTTAGATATTTGCTACTTAAAATACAAGAATCCTCCGAGTGTCAGAAATCCTCTCCTTCCCAACTGTTGTGCTGCCCATTTTCAGCTTGTGGGTCTTGCTTGTTTCATTATTCTAAACCATGTGCTTTCTGACTTCCTCTAAGTAGCTGAGAAACTTACAGTAGGGGACATTATTAGACTTACTTACCCCAACCTTTTGGGGTGACCTAAGAGGTTCCTTCTTGACAAGTTTGAGATAAAAAGCTGCTGGAAGTATGAAAATCAGCATGGTGGCAGACGAAGCCCCTGGGGAGAGAGATGCAGGGCAGTTAATGTCTCGCACAGCTGGTTGCTCCAGAAAAGTGTGTATCTGCAAGCACACACTATGGGACAAACAAATATAAGGCTATTTTGTTTTTCTTGGCACTGAAAGCAACATTTAAGTCATAGTTCATCTTGCTTACATATTTCTAGAATGTGTCTCTATAAAGAAAATCAAAATATGCCTCATGTTATAGCCATGTTAAATATAACTATAATAAGCAGTAAAAGGCCAAACAATACAAGTTGGCAAAGACTTAGAAAGATAACTACACACTCAGAGGGCTAAACTCAACACTCAAGCTTTCTGTCCACACCTGATTCTATTAAGAAGTCATTCTATCTGGGCAGTGGTGCCTCATGCCTTTAATCCCAGCACTTGGGAAGCAGAGGCAGGTGAATCTCTGTGAGTTTGAGTCCAGCCTGGTCTATAGAGTGAGTTCCAGGACAGCCAGGGCTACACAGAGAAACCCTGTCTCAAAAAAAAAAAATTAAAAGTCCATTCTGCCCTGAAAATCTAGTAACCCCTTTGCCTGGATGGAGAACTTAAACACACCAACAGACGATGTGGTTAAAGGAAATGAGATGTTTTGGGCTATCAGCCTTCATGCCTCTAAAGACATCCTCAATACCTCAGCTGGCACTCACAGACTTATGATAGCCAACCTTTACTTTTCCCTTGAAGACAGAGCTATGGCCCATGTCCAATCCTGTGTCCACCAAAAGATAATGTGATTTGGTTTCTCTAAGGCTCAGTTTCCTTATCTTTTGAAAAGGCACTTGGAAGACGTGGCTATACCTGAATGCCAACATCAGGTGAGAGGCAGAGAACATAGCCAGGATGATCCCTGAGCCCAATAGAGGCTCATGGGACTCTTATTAGCCCAAGAGGGACAAGGAGCCCTGCCTACACAGCACTATTTTCATATCTGCCATTTAAGGAGGCAGAAGTCTGAACGGATCCAACAAAAGCTTTTATGAAACTTACCTATGAATCCAAAGATGTATTTGATGGTGGGCACAAGAATGACCAGGACATTGTTGAGTGCAATGATCACAGCAGCAATCAGGAAGTGTTTTATCAAGCTGAAGGGTCTTTTGGGAAACAGCAGTGTGATCACAGAAGTCCGAATCTGCAACGAGGATTTCAAAGGTATGAACACTTCTTTTAACTGTGTTTTTCTTGAGACACGGTTTCCTCTGTGTCGGGTGGCTGTTCTGGAACTCATTCTCCAGACCAGGCTGGTCTTGCACTCACTGAGATCCCCCTGCCTCTGCCTCCCAAGTGTTCAGATTAAAGGCAAGCACTACCACCGCCAAGCCATTTTTTAATTTTTGTTATAAGCATTCTAGTATAAAGTGTTTTGTTTTACCCACCCCCAATCTTGATGCTTTTTCTCACGTTTTCATTGTGTTGAAACACACAGAGTAGCATTTGTCATCTTAAGTTTGTACGGCTCAGCGGAATTAAGTCCATTCATGTTGCTGTGTCAACTTCACACTGATTTGTGATGTCTGAGAGTGAGATCTGTCCTTGGTTACATATCATACATCCACTTTATGGATATTGGAAGTTTTGTTCAAAAATAATCTTGGGCAGAAGAGATGAAATAACCATTCCATACAGGTTGGGGGCAAGGAAGCCCTTGCTGTTGGCTAACTGTGTCTCATTCTCATTAGACCAGCCTAGGCATTGGACATAGACAGACTGTAAAGCAATTTCTATAAATTTGGCTTTTTCTTAATTTTCCATTTTATCTAACATTTCCCACTGGTATTTTTTTTTAAAGTGACACTTTTTGTGCTCCCCCCATTAATAGACTACAGATCCATAAAAGGCAAACAGTGGGGCCCAATAACCCCAACATTCCTCAGAGATCCTGCTTGGTCATTTGCGCATAGCAGGCATGCAGTAAATGCTGAATTAAACTGACAGCAGGAATCTTTCCACTGCCTTCGGGGTCCCCGACAGATTCCAGCTCTATTTCAGCAGCTGAAAAAGTGCGCCAAGACACAAGAGAGGCTCCGCCTGCAACAGAGCTCAAGTTACCTCAGTGTCAGTAGACAAAGAGGTCACCATTGGAGAGGGACAGCGAGAATTTGGGTTTGGATAGCCTGACAGAGAAACATGCTTATCTTTGAAATTTCTTATGAGGACACTCTTTGGACTTAGTAAGATTACTCTATTAGCCTCTCAGTGAGTAATCCCTTCAGTTAATTTAAGGCTTCCCACATTTGGAAGAGATGGGGTCAATTTTCATTTAAAAATTTCAGTCTCAAAGTCTCATAATGTTGCAGAAACAGGAACTCATTGCAGAAACAGCAAATGTGAACTCCATTTTGGAACATGTATGGACAACCCGAAAAAATGCAAGCTAAATTGCCTGCAGTTTCTCCTGTGGCATTCCTTTCATACCATTCATGGAAAATGAAAGCCATCTGTGTAGGTCTAGAATGGCAAACTGCACAGTCCCACAAATGGTTTACAAGTGACTTTGTGAAAGATTTTAAAAATTGGATTAGTGAAAAATATGAAGATTGCTGTGAAATACACTTCAAGGAAGGCGAGCAGTCTGATGCCACTTTCCCCAGTAACTGGGACATTATGACCTATGATGAATGCCTGACCCATATTGTGCACAGAGACTGGCGTTAGTGGACTTGCAATAAGTTTAGTGGAGTGTGCTGCTCAAGAGTATGATTGACTGGGAAGCTTACAAAAAAAGCAAGCTGAATACAGATTCATGTTCCCGGAAGATGCCATGCTTGTATGTTTTGTTGTTATGAAAGCACTCAGGTTAAAGCAAACAAAAAGCCAAGTCAAGGGCAATCCTGTATGTTCAGGGCCTCTGAGAATAAACATGGGTTCCTAAGCTCATGTGGTAGAGGAAGGTACGGCCTGCCGAAAGAGAAGACAGAAAATGTGCAGGAATAAATACAGCGTGGTTGGAGTGAATGCAAAAGCTTTGTTCTCATGGAAAGTGAGCTGAAGAAAATCCCTCACAGGACTGAAGAAATGTGGAGCGTCAATACCTGCTCCCCAAAGAGGGCAACAGTGCCAAGAAGGAGGCAAGCTGATAGTGGCCTTGGAAAGGGTTAGAAGAAAACTGATCATTCTATGTTACACCTCTCCTTTATTAGAGAGTGGATCCGAAAGGCTGGGGCAGTTCTGTTTACCCACACCAGGACAACATAGGTAACAGCCTTATTACCCACAAAGCTCCAGTGCTCATCCACTTACCTATGTGTCCTTTATCTACTGATTTGAACTGATAAGGACATGAAAATGTAGGTTGGATGCTGCAAGTCTGGGAAGTCCCTAGTACCAGCCAGGGCTCCTGCTGCAGAGTATGACATTAAGAAGTTTCCATGTACTTTCTGGGAAGAACGTCAATTGTTTCTACAGGGTGTCCTGACCAAGCCTGTTAGGAGGCACCCTGTGCTGATGTAGGGCCCCAGAGTGACAATCACAAATAAGGAAGTCAAGAGGAAAGGGACAGCCTCTATTGGACACTCTCAAACACAGATTCTCCACTGAGTAGAAATGATGCCTTCTTCAAGTTATAGGGCTGCTTAGGGATCATATCTTGGGAATGCCAGCTCTACTGCAGTTTCTAACAGTGCCCATGGTATTGCTATGCCTACCTCTGTGCATGATTCAGAACAGGGGACCTAGGGGGCAGTACATGCAAAACGGATGATTGTTCTTCGAGAAGATGAAATAGCAGGGGCTGGAAAGTTTGAGAGATGATTTTCTGAACATACTACTGTTGTGGGAATTCATTTTGCCAATAGTTTTGGGGTACTGGCCTTAGGGTGTGGCATCTTGTCTGCAGACAGACAGGTCACACACTCTCTTGTGTTGAGAAGACCGGGGCAGGCAGGCAAAGCAGTGTGTGGTTCCCATCTCCCTAGGGCAGGACTTTGCAATTGGTTATACGTTGTCCTATATCCATGAATCTTTTTTCCCCATAACACCCTTTGAGATACACACACACACTGCCAGCCACCATTCTGTCTGTGACCCTTGTAACTGTGGGAGTGAAAGGTTATGTATGCCATGTGCAAGAATTGGGTAGGCATCTGTTATTTTCCTGGATGTTGATTCTTATGGCCAGTCTCGATCCTGATGGCATCTAACACTGACAAACTACTATAGTTCCTGGTGATCAGATGTGTGTGTAGTAGTTCTCATAACATACTACAGGTAGAGAATGAGCCTGTCCACTTAGGATAAATCATAAAGGTTATTTGCTTTTCTTTCTGTCCTTTGTGGTGACACATGAACCTTGTGGTTTGAAGGGAAGCACACTTGCAAATGTCACTGTCCATCCCCTGGAAACAGGTACATCCCATAGTGGACCGCCTACCCCATACCTAAGGAGATCCACGCTAATTGAGAGCTAGCCTCAATTCACTTCACTTCTGCATCTATCTGGCAGACATCAGGGCTCCTGCCCACTAGTGCTAAGAAGGAAAAAAACCAACCTAAGGAGATGACAAAGAGGATAAGAGAGAACTGGGCATGCAACTCTTATCCTCTCATCTAAGAAAGAGCCAGGTTACCGTGTCCTGTAAGAAAAAGAATGCAAAATAATAGCTAAAACTTCTAGATTTGAACTCAGACCAGGCTTGCTTTGTTACTTGTATTGAGATTATTATGGCATATAAAGAAGTTTCTTGGCGGTCAAGCATCTCCTTTCTTTTTTTAAAATGATTTACTTATGTATAGTGTTCTGCCTTCATGTTTGCCTGCAGGACAGAAGAGGGCACCAGATCTCATTACTGATGGTTGTGAGGCACCATTGACTACAGGGAACTGAACCCAGGTTCAGAGAGAAGGCTGAGCCATCTCTCCAGCCCTCAAGTGTTTGTGAATGCAAAGAAAACTGTCGGGGAGAACCATGCCCTCCAGGAGAGCCATGGAGCCACACCCTCCAGGTGAGCCATGCCATGTAGGAGGGCCACACCCTGCATTTGATTCACTGAAATTCTGGCCCCAAGTTATAAGAAACAATAAAAACACTACCCACAATATCTACCATTTACTCACAAACACCTCAGAATTTGGCCTTTTAGAACTTGACTGGGACAAGGGTGGCCACTTACTTGTCACCATCACGTTCATAGCCTTTTGATTTACTTGCCCAGATCCTCACTCCCCTGGATAAACTTGAAAAGGTGGCTCATATATTTCAGGAAAGGCAAGATTTACCCAAAGACCATTTTTCATATTCAACACTGCTTGCTCGTCCTCTCTGCCAGCCACCATTCTGTCTGTGACCCCTGTAACTGTGGCAGTGAAAGGTTATGTATGCCATGTGCAGGAATTGGTAGACATCTGTTATTTTCCTGGATGCTAATTCTTATGGCCAGTCTCGATCCTGATGGCATCTAACACTGACAAACTACTATAGTTCCTGATGATCAGATTCAGCTCAGGGCATTTACTCTTACAAAGGATGAGAACTTCTAAGAGAGGTTTGGATTATCAATGGTGAGATGTAATATTTGTCGAGGCTAGTTTTTACTTCCCATTATAGCAACGAGCCTTTGCATAAACTTAACAGTTACCTACTAGCCGTGTGATCGCCACCACCATGTCCTTCAATCCCTTGAGACTATGATCCGAAAACACCTTATCAAGGGCTTAGGAGTAAAGCAAATTAAAAGATGGTAACAGATTCCTTGCATAAAATGATTAAACAACAATGCATGTGTTTCTGGTATGCCAAAAGCCACAAGGACTCCAACAGTTTTTCCCAGAGTAACTAGAAATTTCATCCTATAGAACATCCCACTCAAGCCTGAGCTCATTTTAGGCTAAAGTTCCACGTATGGCATTCAGAATGCTCTTGGATATGTTAGAGGCCAGGCGTTATTTAAGAGGGAAGTATTAGCCACGATAGCGATGAGGATTCAATTTCATGCACTCATGAAAAAGGAATGTGACCAAATACGCTTCAGCACACAAGCTGTACTTAAAGTGACCACACCACGTTATTTAAGTTGCTCTCTCATGCTGAGTCTTGTGTGGAATGTTTTGTCCACAGCAAAGCTGGTTGCTGGGTCGCTTATCTTTACCCTCTAAACTGAGTATTTACAAAAGGGACAGAGTTGGCAGGCAGGGGAACCCCTGTGTTTGTCCATAGGTGGTGTTTTAACTCTTGTAGCCCCATCCTCACCCCCAGTCCAGTGCTGTGAGTCCATGACAAACCAAGACCCTGACTAGTGCCAAGGAACTGGAATCTCAAATGTCAGAAGGCATGTGTCAGTTTTGGTGGGAGAGATCAAAAACAGGGTGGTGGCACACACCTTTAATCCCAGCACTCGGAAGGCAGAGGCAGTTGGATCTCTGTGAGTTCAAGGCCAGCCAGGGCTATTACACAGAGAAACCCTGTCTTGAAAAACAAAACAAAAAAACCCAACCAAACCAAAAAAACCCACCTCCTTTCTGATATGTCATTTACTTAATGAGTCTCCTTCCCATGAGCCACTAAAACATCAGATTCAATAATCTGACCTTTAGACGTGCCCTCAGCACAGCAGACTTCGAACAAACTAAAACACCTTCAAACTTGCAAGATGCAAGTTTAAGTGGCATTGGCTTTCACGTTTCTGGAGGCAGACCTGCTCTTAATTTTATTAGTCTATTGGTGGCAGCCTAAACTCTGCTTGTTTTTATTTGAATTTAAAAAATAAAGTTCACATTTTTTCCTCACACTTTAAAAACACTAAAATCATTTGCTGAGTCTATTATATTAAGTGGCTCCAAAATTCTATGAGAAAATAATTGTCTGGGACACATAGACACACAAATCTACACTGAGTCAGAACAATGCACTAATCCTTCAGAACTCCGTGTTACTTACTGGGAAGAGGACAATGGGCACAGTTAATGTCACTGCCACCAGGACTGCAACGCGGACCATGAGTAGAGGGGTATCAAACGTGTAGACTTTGCTGTACGCATGGAGTAACTCATCTTCAACTTCCCCTGCAAGATGAAGAGTTGGAGGTTTGATGAGTTGGCACCAGCTACTCACAGAAACGTGTGATGATGATGGAGGAAACAGGATGGTGGAAGACGCCCAGGCCTGGGGAGTCAGACAGTCCCCAAGCTTCTTGATATGATTTGTACCATAATAAATCTACGTCTGCTACAAAGAGCATCACAAACCAGGGCGATGTGCTTCCATTAAAAGGAAGGATAAGCCTAAGTCCTATCAGCTTGTCCCGCCCTGTCAGTCCAGCTAACCCTGAAGGAGTGTCTTTGGACCCAATGTGGGAACTCTAGGACTGATGAGCTCTTTCTCTCTCTGTGTGTGTACATGTGTGTATTCACTTGTGTGGGCACATTTTGGGGGCAGAGGTTGGTAGTGAGACATTTTCCTCAATCACTTGCCTTCCTTTTTTGAGACAGGGTCTCACTGAACCTGGAGCTTGCCATTTTGGCTAGACTGGTCAGTCAGCAAGAGCCTGGGATCTGTCTCTTTGCTCACTAGCACATGCCTCCACAGCCAACTTTCACATAGGTGCTGGTGATCCAAACTCAGGTCCTCTTGGGGTTTTAAAAGGCTGTCTTACAAAATTCATTAGAAAAGCATGCAGGGATGCAAGCGTGTTCTTACTGGGTCTCCCAGTCATTTTATTCTAAGATTTATCTGATGCCTTCTTTGAAGAAGACATTCTGAATGCCAGACACAAGTGCACATAGATGCATATGAAATGAAAACATGAATGGCACATAGATGCACATAAAGCCATATGTGTAGCCTGGTTACCCCCCTATTTCTCCCAAGATGAGATAAGGGGTACAAATACACTCACTCAGTGGTATTGATCTTGACTTTCACTAACCTGCAACCAATGAGAAGCTAATGCCAAATTGAGAGCAAGTACTTGGTTAACAGTCAAATATTAGTCAAATGGAAAAGACACATAAGCAAATGATGGCCTCCTCCTGAGTCATTTCCTCCCCAGTTTGTCATGCATTCAATTTAATTTGCCAAGTCAGGAAAAAATGGAGGTTCCAGGAGGAAGAACTATTTTTACTTACAACTTTTCAATTTTTTGAAATTCCATGCGTATGTATTCTATGCACATTTCTTCTTCTATTTGAAAATGTTTTCCAAAGTGTTCTATGTCTTACAATAAACACTAACAGAACTCAAAAAAGTTGAAGGTGTTTATTAAAAATGTCTATTTGCATTGACACCTTGTCTAGTGTGAAAATATGATAACACACTTATATTTGACTGCAATATTTCTCTATTTTGCAATGAGTAAATAATGCTAACCCCTTTGCGTACAGTTAAGATGCTGAACAGAATGTGTAATGTGAACTGTTGCAATGCCACTTAAACACACACACACAATTTAGAATAGTCTCAGATTGAAGGAAATTCTTCTGCATCCTTTCTCTTAGGAAATTATTACTCTAACAGAACTGAATGAAATGAAGCACACATTTTACATAATGCTGTAAGACACCAGCTTTAACTGAATGGTAAGAAGAAGCAGAGTCAAACTTGAGGACTATGGCTTGCTTGGCAGCCACTTTTCCCTAAAAAGAGTTGTATATACTTGGATTCATTCTCATTGTTTCTAGCCTGAGCTGGACTGGGAAACTAGAAAAAGAAGCATCACTTCTATTGGAAGGAAATCGACTCATTTGAGGGATGTGTGTGTGTAGGTGAGCATACATGTTTGTGCACATGTGCATGTAGAGGTTAATGTTGGGTATCTTCCTCTATTGCTTTCTACCTTAGTTTTTGAGGCAGGCTCTTTAACTGACTCACAGACCACAGATTTTGTTAGCTTATGAGTCCCAGGCATTATCCTGTCTCCAGTGCTGGGGTTGCAATAATGTACTACCATGCCTGGATTTGTATATGGGCATTGAGGAATCCAAACTTGGGTTTCACGCTTAGATGTCAAGAACTTTACCTACTGAGCCATCATCCTAGCTGCAATTTGAGAGATTTAAAAAAAAATCACACATAACTTCATCAATTGCTGGAATCCACAGCTGGTTTCCTTTGTAAAGTGGCAAGGCTAAATCAAACATTAATCAAGACTGCACCATTTACATACACACCATGCTACTCATGAAAAAGAATTTTACGTATCTAGGTGAATTACCAGACTAATTGAAAAGAGAAGGACTGGGACAGGGTAACCTACCATAGAAGGTGAGGTAGCCAAAGAGAGCGGCAAGCAGGTACATGACAAGCATCCCTGTGATGGAAATGTTGGACACTGTCTGCATCTTTCTCCGGGACCGACTGGCAAGAAAAAGAACACCAAGCTTCATTTTAAAAAACTTTTTAAGTATAACAAAATAAAAATTATGAAACAAGACTTTAGACATAAAGCTTACAACTTATTTAAATTTGTCTCAGAGAGCTAAAGAAGACTTATTTTTCATTTCTCTTAAACAATGTTCTTTTAATCTAGTAGTTCCTTTAATGTCAAGTAACCTTATCCACAGATTATTATTGTAATTAATAAACACTAAATGGTTTAACTGGCCCCTATGGCAAAGCTTTTCCATTTCACACTGAGATGAGTTCAATGAAGAAAACTACCTAGGGAATCAGCAAAACCCCACTACCAAGAGATCAGACTATATATACTAGAAACCAGTATATATAGCACTCACCTAATCTTAAGGCTTACAGAGTTCATATTGTATGTGATTCACACAGTAAATCTAAGACCTGCCCCCCCAATAGCTTAAAGTGTTCCAGAACTTTATAAGGCAAATCAGAATTTAAAGGACAAGGTATCACCATTATTCAGGTTTAAAAAGTTAGGAATCATTGTCGAACACCCCAGCTGTTAGAATAGGTTCAGACCAAATGAGATGCCAACAATCTCAAAGCAGGTGATTATTAATCACAGATCCCTGCACTGCTGGGAACTAGCTAGTGTCCCCATTGCACACACAAGGCCATCAGTTCGGTGAACACCTTTAAGGAAAGGAACTGACCACTAGTAGCATCAGTTGCTCTGCAAGGCTGCCCTAATTCTTAAGTTTTAGTTATCACGAGTAATGTTATTTCCAGTTTCAACAAAATCCACATTCAAATCCATACACCTGCCAAAAATCAATGCACCCACTATCTCCTCCTCTGCCTGGGGGAAATCCTTCCCTGAACCATTATGGCAGGATGGGAGAGGAAGTAGAGTCTAGCATTCGGGCTCACTCAAACCTTGCTTGAAACACATTGCCAGTGAATTATTGTAGCACAAACTATCTCTGCTCAGAAAGCCATAGGAAATGCCTCCTCATAGGGCATTTTGAATAGATGAACATATTTGCAAATCAAATGAGAATGCTAAAATGATGGCTGCCTTACTCTTTAAGTTCACTGTAGATGGGGAGGACCTCAGGATGGCAGACAAAAGCAAATGCTAGGATTGGGATCGCATAGGCGGTCTGTAAAACAAACACCGTATGTTTAGAGGTCCTGCATAGATGGTGATTCCAGAGCATCTCAGTGTATGAAATAAAACTCAAGAGACCACAGTGCTCAGCCTACTAGGGGTGTGGATCTGTCACTTACCCGGGAATTAAATACAAAGTATTTGGGCTGACACTTGTCACCAGTGTGGGCTTCATACTCCACTCCACTGCTGTGAAGAGGGCCTGTAGCCTGGTTCTCATCCAGCCCTGCAGGGTTTCGGTGAGTGTAGTCCATCATGAAGTTCACACCAGTGCTCTCTGAGTTATTGGGCAACATAATCACGTGTATTGGAAGTGTGCTGTTGAACGTCAGGTTTCCAACACTGTGATCCAGCACAGGCAGTGGGCAGGGTATTTGAAATTTTTTGTAAATCACCTACAGCCAGTCATTAAAAATTGAAACAACAAAAATAAAAAGTCAAGCTTTGAGGGGGAAACAATGAAATAAAAATCCATTGGTGTGGCTTTAGGGGTGCAGGTGAGAGAACTCAGTTGAGATCTCCTTAGACTACTGGGCTGAGGGGATTCCTAGCCTCTGTTCAAAGGGAAGAGCTGGAACTATGATTGGCAATGCTACTTTCTAGTCAATATTACCAGGCTTTGGTGAGCCACTCCAGGCCTTTCTCTTCTATGACAAAGACAGTTTCTTCATTACATCAAAATATTCATGACACAAGTCATCAAAAATTCTTTCTTCTTCGTTTACCTCTTTGGGGGAAAAGATTTACAAATTTCACATCTATGATATTTTAAGAAATTTCTCCTTTGTTTGAGTTGATTTCTTCTTTAATTCTGCTATGGTCAACACCTCTTAAGGGGTAGAAAATGAAAGAGAGAATGGCTGACACATGCAGACATGGCCCTAGCCTACTTAAGTCTGCTATTTCTATCTTCTTGAACACTGGGTCACTACCATGGTCCTTTGTCTAAGTGTTCACCCAGAGATCCTGGATCATACCATGTGCTATGACCTTGGCATTCTAATTCAACTATTTTTAAACCCATGACTGTCCTTTCCTCATTCCAAATTAGAATACAATAAAATTGCTTGTGAAGCAAGAACTATTTCATGCTTGTGAAGTGCTTGGACAAAAATGAGGACACTAATGAAACATGGCGTGCTTGCCAAGCTACAAGGATCATGTCAAAAAAGCACTTACCACACTGACAAAAAACACCATGCACGTCAGGGAAAATCCACTGGTGTAGCCAAGGTAACCTAGGAATTAGCAGAAATATTTTGGGAGGTGACTATAGTGTCTAAAAAAAAGTTTGCCTATTAGAATATGAAGTAAAGATAAACATGCTTTTAGTTAGTGAATTAATACCTAAATTTTTAAGGAGAGAGAGTGGAAGGATAACTCCCACAGACACAAATATCACGAGGTAGTTGCCATTGAGGTACCATTCCCTAGAAGAGAAAGAGAGAGGGTGTTGGGAACAGAAAAGGTAACAGAACAAGCCAGCTGGTATCACGGAAAGAATGTAAAACATACCCAGTGTTTTCTTCAAGTCCCATGAATGCTCTGATTACTTCAGGTAGTTCGTATTTAATGATGAAGAGGTAGCTTGACATTGCTGAAAAGGACAAAGGGACAGCTTAGTGGTGTGCACACACACTGTTATCCCACGCAAGCTGTAAGAAGTCAGAGCACTCAGGACATCCATTCTCCTTGGAAAGATGAGCATCTCATCCCTAAAACAGAACTTGAAGGCCCCGAGCACTCTACAAGGCTTTCAGGTTCTCTTCAAAAGCACATGTCTGTCTTTCCAGCTCATACACAAGAGGCTGCTGCTAACAGTGTCCCTGTTGATTCCTGGTTAAGTTCTAGGGGAACTTTGGGTCCCACATTTTCACTCTCATTAGTTAGAGATTGTCAAGGCCTATGTTGTGTCTATAGGTGGTGGTCTGACAAAAGAAGGTGGTACCAAAACCAAGATAGCAGAATTGTAAGGCAGGTCTCTGGGTATTCCAGAGTCTCCCAGAGTCACACAGAGAATCTCAGACCCATGACCACTAAAAGTCTTCTAGACTGATAATAGAGTATAAGAGACAACAGCTTCTCCCCCTGTTTTGTCTGTATAGGGTTGGGTTTTCCTCTCTTATTCCAGTTTCCCATTGGTCAAGAAAAATTACAGAAATGATCAAATTTTACCTGCACTATTTTGAAAACATCAAAAATCTATAAAACCAGCAGGGTGGTGGTGGTGCACACCTTTAATCCCAGCAGTCGAGAGGCAGGTGGATCTATGTGAGTTTGAGGCCAGCCTGATCTACAGAGTGAGTGTCAGTATGGGCTCCAAAGCTATGGAGAAACCCTGTCTCAAAAAACAAAACAAAACAAAAAAATCTATAAAACCTCTCCCTATACATGTCTGTATACATATGTAAAACATGACAGTTTTGCCTCCGATTGGAGGGATTTGTGCAACACTCCATTCCCAAGTTCACCATTTGGTGCAATTTGATTCTAATTTGTTATTTGGCACACAGTCAAGGGTACAATTAAAAGTAAAACCAGTAGGGCTAAGGTTGTAGTTCAGGGGGTAGAATGACTATCTAGCATACACAGGGATCTGGGTTCTAGTCCCCACACTACCATGACAGGGAAAGGCCTGTCTTTTGGAGACAGGGTTTCTTTATACAGCTCGAAGTGTGAGGGACACCCTTCTGGTGTGGTTATATGGACTGGCATCTAAGTTGTATACTGAATTTTGACCAGTTTCAAATTAGTCCCTGAGCTTCCAAGGAGGTGAGAATAGTGCTGATCATTTGCGACACTATTGAGTTCTGTGGATCTCATCACTTGGTCATCTGAAAAGTCTTGGGGAGACAGGTGTATGTCATACCCTATCCTGCAGTTCAGGACATCAGGACATGATGAACTCAATGATACATCCATGATCATATTCTTGCAAAGGGCAGACTATGTGAAAAACACAAGGCTCCTCACTCTGGATCACTGTCTCTTCCCAACTGTCAAAGTGAGATGGTTTCTCTGATAGCTGCTGTGTCTTCTGTCCACATGGCTTGGTTAATCTTTACAATGCCCTTGGCTACAGCCGAACCTTAGAGCGTAAACAGGAGGTATTTCTGATGAGCTGGCTCACTGAGAGACTGTTCAATTTTAGAGCTCTTAACTGCTGATTCTCGGTGATGTCACCACTGCTAATGTGTTTGGTCTTTGAAAATCCAGGGTGCAACAGGCCTGTTCGGGTAAAGTCAACATCATCCTGCTAATGTCAAAACATCAGTGGCAAATGCCAAGTTTTTAGGGGGTTGAAAAATTAAAGTGTTCTAAATGTGGAGCTGCTAACTTAAGAAGCGCAAGTGACTTCCCTTATATCAAATCACTAATCACACAAAATAGTCAAAGTGAGAGCATTTTCTGGGGTGAGGATAGGCAGCTATCTCTCTCTTAAAGCCATGCTTCTTGTGTTTGGCTTGACACAGAGCTTGCTTTGATCCACACCTGGAAGTGTAACAGTGGCTGTACCGACACTTTGAACAGCCATGGCACCATCATTCAGCTTGCAGAGGTAAGAGTAAAACACATTCGGGGCTCCTTATTTAAGTTGTCACAAACTGGAGCAAGCATGAGGTAATCTCGTGAAATGCTCAATGATTTAAATCTCTGAAAAGCTAAAGATTTTAACTAAACATAGAGCAGATTCTTTAATGAGCTTAGATGTTTACAGCCCCAATCCAGGAAAAGCAAAAAAACAAACAAACAAAGACATAGATTCTGGAGATGTCTACACAAGACTTTAAAAACATAAAGCCAAATAAACACACACTTGGAGTTGTGTGTGCGTGGCTGTGTTAAGAGTTCATGCATATTCAAGACCCCAGTGGGTTCAGTGCTGCTGCAGAGGGTTTGGTGAGATTTAATAACCAGAATGCCATTGTTTGTTGACAGAAGTTCTGTTGTTGTTCATTTCATTAAGCATCATACAGAAAGTTCAAGTGGTCCATTGCAAGCTCCCCACTTACCTCCAATATTTTGCATTGTAATGGAGATAAAGGCTCCGATTTTCCCAGGCCATCCAAATGCCTTTTCCCCTAATTTTTCATAAATTAAAGACCCTATAAGGGAAGATAGAATTGCTGTGTTAGAGGGTCATTCTCATCCCTTAGCATTTCTTTACATAACTCTACACTGGAATATTCAGCATGTAACTAAGTAGTAAAGGGAAATGATAAAACCAAAGGACCAGACCTCAGAAACCAACGAGCAATGTCAAATGCTCTCCAAACAGAAGCAATGACTCCATTCGCTTGAGCTGTGTGTTGTTAGTAACAGCCGCTATACCTACCATTTGCCAAAAATCTTTTCTTCCCCCTATTTGACTTGAACTTGGGTTAATCAGCTTTCATTCTTGATTCTCAACTGCCCAGTTTACTAATAACCTTGAGAGAACACACTTCAGGGGTCCGGAGAAAAAAAGAACCTGACCGACATCCTCCTTAGTTTATACCTCTGTGTAAGTGAGAAGTTCTCTCACAAGAATCAAGGAAGACAGCTTTCGGCTGAAGATGTGGGCTTGAAGGGAACATACCTCCTTCCTTGGCTGTCTTTAATAGAAGATGAACCGAATAGAGTGATAATATTGCCACAGTCAGCAACATGATTCTGTAATGGAACAGAGAGTAGACAGTACAAGTTTTATCATAGGTGAGACATTGTTATGCTAAACATTGCAATAAATTACAGTAATAGTTTTGCCTCTTCAACTGTCAACTTTGCAAAAGTATATAGATTTGGAGGATTCCGAGAAATTGTTAAATGCCACTCAAATAGAACTTTCTGTACTGTACTTGGCTTCAGCTACTACCTGAAGTTTCTTACATCATGGTGTAATATGATGAGATGCTAATGGGAATGAAACTAACACATCCCATCCACTCACTCAGTGTCCAGGTGTGTGTATGGTGTATTTGCATCAACAGGTAGCTGTGA